TAATGCAATTTCGAAAGCAACGAACAAAGCAGAAGATTGCAGAGACAGAGGCGTTGAAATCTGAGTTTTGTGAGGAGCGGAAGATGAAATATCTGTTGGCCAATCAGAGTGCAGCAGCATGGAGTCAGCGTGAAGTGTCTGAAACCTGACCAGAAGAGTAGACTTGGGAGCACTTGTTGGTCTGCCCCAAGGAAGCACGAGGGAGGCTGCTGCAGCCAAGAGGTATTTCGGAGGAGATCTATTTCTTTCCCACCCACCCACCCTTTTGCTTTTGGGGGTGTCAGTGGTAGGGCGAGGACGGATCGCCAGCAGTGGTAAATGAGGAAGGTGTGGTCGTTTGCCGATACTGCTGATGGGGCGAGGGTGTTTGGGTAGATGATCCTTGCCTGGGTGTGTCTGTCGCGCTAGGGGTGTTGGCGGTACTCTCAGTGCGGGTGAGAGCGCCTAAGTTGCTGTGCCACGAGCGGCGAGTGCACAGTGACTGGATGATTGGTTATGGTCGACAGGGTCGGCCGTAGCCGTGGGCCGGCGGTCGGGAGCGGGGGCGGGTGCGAACCCAACGTGGGGGTTCGCGAGGTACCGCGTGTGTGCGACCGTTGATGAGCTTGACGAGGTAGCGCGACTAGACATGGGCACGCAGTGGTGTTCTTCACGGTGCATCACAATCAATGTGGTACATGTGCGGTATATTGAGGTCGGTATATCGGAACATGCGTGCAATTTGGAGAGAAGAAAGGGGGGCAGGCATGACTTTGAGAGTATGCCTGATGGTGCGGTGACTGGTGTATGCTGATGGTGTTGTGGACGGGGATAGGTTGAGATCCCCGAGTTCCGCTCTTCTCTCCCCCCCCTGTTCAAGCGTGGGGGGGTACGACCAATTAATGCAATCTCGAAAGCAACGAACAAAGACACATTTTTCCCCAGAACATGGTGCCCCGCAGATGTACAATAATATCGGGGGATAGCGTTTCCACTATGCGGCACCCCCAAAATTTTTTGCTGGGGGGCAGCAAAGTAAGGCATTGTAACATCGACAGCGGTCTGCTGCAGCCCGCACTACTTGCGTGTGGGTATGGAGAGATTCCTCCCATCTGCTGACGGGTCGTCAGCTGCCGGCTTGAGGCCATGTGGCGAACCCACGTGCCAGCAAAAGTCTCAACTCGTGTCAGCGGTTCGCCAGTGCCCGTGCG